TTAACAATTTTCTTGGAATTTGCACAAAATGCTCATTAAAAGCATTTGCAATGTCTTGTAAATTATCAAGATTTAATCCATTATACGTGATATTAGAAGGAGATGAATTTTTTTCTGATTTTGAGGCAAGCTGATTTAAATGACCCCACATTTCTTTTGATGTAGAACTATTTTCAATTACTGTCTTATAATATGTAGATTTTGCATCAGTAATTAATGAGGTGACTTTGTTTCTCCAAAATCTAAAATTGTCCATGTCTCCCTGTTTATGGAATTGATCTCGTATATTCCTAGCATCATTTATTTCTGGAGTCAACCATTTAGTGCGAAATTCTGATTTCACACGCTTTGTTTTAACCTTCGCATGCTTATTAAGTACAGAATTGAAAATTTCATAGAAACAGGTTAAGATGTCATCAGGATCATGCAGAAGAAGCAATTCATCAAAATCTGCATTGGTTAAATCGTGCAAAAAGTCATTTTCATCAAAGTTTTTAAAGTCACGATATTGTATTTCAATATGTTTTCCTTTGCGTTGCATGCTGTTAGATCTTCGGGTGGCACATATTGGATAATGGATAATGGTATATTTAAGTATTCTAGGGTACTTATTGGCTTAGAATTCTCAAACTTTGTCAGTTTATGCACCTTGGGTTTTCGGATAATGTTGACCAAAAAGTAGGTCACTGTGACCCACTTTTAAATATCTCAAGTACTTATTGGCTTAGAATCATCAATCTTTGTCAATTAATGCATCTTGTGTCCTCAGAAAATTTCAATCAAAAAGTAGGTCACCATGACCTTTATACATTTATAGTTACATTTAAATATCTTCAGCCCTAACTGGCTAAGAATCATCAAACTTTGTCAGTTGATGCATCTTGGGTCTTAGGATAGATTGTATAATTTATCAGAAGAGCGATTCAAGGCCCTTGGGCCTCTTGTTATGAAATATAATATGCTGATACATATCAGTGGGAGCTATTCAACTGCACCATCATCTTTTGACTATGCACTTTCCTGTTGCCTTGACCTCCCTTTTCTTTGAATTGTATTTTGTTGGGTTTTCAAAAAACCATTTAAGATATTTTTATGTAAACATACACTTATGTAAACATCATTTGGTGACATTTACCATCCATATCCAAACTTCATACACTTATACAAATTTTCATGTAACATTTTTAATTTTTAATATACATTCGGTTGGTAAGTTCTGTAATTCTAATTTTCTATGAAATTGTTTATACAATTCTAGAAAAAGGACAAAAAATGTTTAGAGCGGGCATACAAAAATTGTTGGACCGCTGAGTGAGATGTTGGACCACTCGGAGAGATTTGGACCGCTTATTTTATTGTATATCATTCGCTGGTGTTAAACAGTCTAACAGTCATTGTAACTGAAATATAACAAAACATTTTATATTTTGGTGTGAACCAAATGGCCTAACAGAATTCTTTAGCAAATACATAAAAGTATTAAATCACAGTCTAAAGTCATTGTAACAATTATATCAAGTGGACAGAAAGCAAATTCATAAAAGCAAATAAGGAAATAAAAGCAACGGAAAAAGGAAAAGGATCCAAAACCCATTTATTTTCAATTGATATTCAAAGCATGTAGATCAGTTTTGGTTAGCATTAGCAATATTCAAACCGACTTTCAAACTTACCATTTGAACTTGACTAAATTAACAATTTAAAAGCTATTATGTCAAAGTAATCTTTCTTGATTATGAACAAAAAACACTAAAAGCTTCCACTTTTATGTAAAAGGTTTAGGTGCAATTGATAAAACTTTTTTTGTGGTACTTAGGAGTGTGACTATAAATATGCAATCATTCCAATGCATAGAGCCAATTCAAATTTGTTTTAATCCTGATCAAGAAATCTCGCATGAGCATTATAAACAATTAAAACGATGCCCTGGTATCTTAGTCTATATCCTGGTAAGGTCCCACTTGTTTGTACGGAAACTTCAAAAGCAATTTTTTTGGAAAAAATAAATATATTTTGGGAACATGTCATCAGATCTCAATATAATGCTTTGAGTGTTAACTTAAATATGACAATAAAGACCAGGAAAGTATCGGGTACACATAATTAAAAACTATCTTCTATAACACTTTTGTTTTTATAGAAGTTCAATTCAATTCTTTTTGCCCTTCATTTTCATCAGCATTAAGTAATGCCCTCACTTATTGGTCATCCTTTTCAAAGCTGTTTGCTTGATGGTTGCTGTAGATCTGACAAGCTAATTTATTTTTGCTTTTGTAAAAAAAATTGTTACATTATGATACTAAAATCCTTTATATCATATGTCATATCAGCCATAGTTTAAGAATTGAAATTCGAGATATATTACATTAGATAGTATAAATCCTTTAATGAACATGGATTAAACAGCAGGCATTAAAGTGACGGGTTACATAATTCTCTCATAGTTTTGGCCCATATCAGCATGAGAACCGAAGATCCGAGGGTTGATATACTATACAGTATTCATGAATTTTTGTATGTAGTATTTTATTTATCAGATATTTAAAATATTTATTATGTGAACTATAGTCTACTTACATACATTAAAGAATGTATCGTGGCTTTTGATCTTTTTCCTTTAAATGTAATACAGCCAATTGCGTAGGCATTAAGCTAGGGGGTGCACTTTTTTGCAAAGATAAACATAATATAAGCATTGAAGTTTGGGGCATAGGTTTAGCCCCCCTTTCGACAGACACATTGCAGTATAGTCAAAGAAGGGTATGTGGTAGTGTTACAAAAAATATTTGGTACTGAAAAAAGTTCGATCCTAAATTTAGGTAAGTGGCTATAAATAGATGATGTTGATGAATACGGTATTTGATACCCCTGCTGCAGTTTAATGAACTGAAGTGTGTCAAAACGTATGTATGAGACTAGACATTCAAAGTCAATGGAGTAAATTTTTGTATGCATTTAAAGAAAAGCAAAAGAATAATTATTTTCCAGGGAGTATTTGTTGTGATATTTTCTTTTGTCAGAAGGAGGTTGAGTAATATGAAGTTGTATTTTGCATACTTAAATATACTTGAATCATTGTAAGTAAGTTTTAGTTTACTCTTTGATGAGAAAATTGCATTTTTAAGTTCGGTAGAGTAGGAGTTTGGTTGTAACTTCAATCATAACATGTTCTACGGGATTTTAAGGGTTATTGAACTCAATTGGTAAAAAAAATCAACCAACCACTGCCTCATTCCAAAAAGGAAAGAAATCACAAAGACCCTCGTAGTTTACTTGTTAAGATAAAACATGTATGAAGGAAAGCAGAAAGACCAAATTCATTTTATATCTAAAAGCAAAATACATTATAAAATTTAAATATTTTAAATCCCAGATTTTTAAGAGTCATTCTCATTGAGTATAAATCACAAAACCCTAATAGAGAAACTAGAGTGCTCCAAGGAATGCATGTGTTGCTTGCTTTTAGCTTCATTAAAGATGTAACTAAACTTCAGCTATTTATCTGATACAAGTATAATTTTGATAAGGATTATTATTATATTCTTTAAAAGTGCATAATACAAATTATTTTTTCTGCTGTTACATCTGTTAGGAATATATTGTGAAATGTAGTCAATCACATTGAACTTTAATTTAAGTGTAGATGTTGCATTGGATGAAAATTCAACAGTGAATGTTGATCATTTTGATAAATTCTTTTGCCATATATAAAATAATACAAAAAGATTTCTTTGATGAAATTACTTTATGATTTGTTTCTATTTGTTAAGATTATATTTTTTTTAATAGGCAAAGTGGAGTTTTCACAAATCTAAAAGAGTAACATAAATATGCCACCTAAAAAGTCTTTTTTTTTTTTGATTAAAATGTCGATGAAATGAAAACCAAAAAATGTATGCTTCCACATGTCAAAGTATGTTTAAATGAAAAGTTGATAATTGGCAAATTGAAATATTTTACAAAGCCGGCTATAAATTACTTTTTCAATTACAGGTTATTATCTACCTGTTTTAATTACAGTAAAGCGTAATTTTTAAAATAATTGAATGACAAGTACTACTCGTAATTACTAAAATGATTATGTACTGCACGAACATGTATATAAACCTATGCAGTAGTTTATTCTCAAATTTCCAAATTAAACAAAGGCATTTATTGAAAATTTATTCACATGTTTTTGAATTCAAGATTGAAATTATCAAGTAAAAATCACAAAGACCCTCGTAGTTTACTTGTTAAGATAAAACATGTATGAAGGAAAGCAGAAAGACCAAATTCATTTTATATCTAAAAGCAGAATGCATTATAAAATTAAAATATCCCAGTAGAAATCCCAGATTTTTAAGAGTCATTCTCATTGAGTATAAATCACAAAACCCTAATAGAGAAACTAGAGTGCTCCAAGGAATGCATGTGTTGCTTGCTTTTAGCTTCATTAAAGATGTAACTAAATTCTAAGAATGGTCAGCTATTGATCTGATACAAGGGTATAGTTTATGAAAAAAAGGATTATAAATCCACGGATACTAAGACTCTATTACAGATGTGGGAAAAACACCTTAAAAGTGCATAATAAACAAATAAATATCAAAATTATATCATGTAAATTAAATATTGTTAATATATTGTGAAATGTAGTATCACATTCAGTTTTATTGTGCCAAGTGTAGTATGTTCCATAATGAAAGTTCAAATGTCAAAATGCCCAATGAAAATCAAAATCAATTTCATTGTGAATGTGGATGATAGCTAAAATCCTTAAAAAAAAGTCTTTTGAAGTATTCTTTTGCCATTAGTTTGAAATAAAATCATACAAAAAGTTTGCCTTTGATTGAAATTACTTATTTATTTGTTTCATATTTGTTAAGATTATATCTAACTGTATTTGAAAAAAAAAATAATGAAGTCTAGCTTGGCAAAGGTGGAGTTTTACCACAAAAAAAGAGAATAATTTTCATAAATATGCCACCTAAAAAGTCTTTTTTTTATTATTTTTTCAGATGAAATAAGAAAACCAAAGTCTGTAATCCCTCCACATGTCAAAGGTATCTTTATTGAATTCTAAAGTAATAATTGGCAAATTGAAATATTTTACAAAAATTAGTTAACCTTGACTTGTTTCAATTAAAACAACATATTATATGTACATTCTTGTTTATATTCCCATGGTGGCAATGGAATTGACAAATTATATTAAAATGCTCGTTTGATCAATCAGCTGATTCCATTAATTAAGAATTTTAATCTAAAACTTAAATATTCAAACGTTCCCCTACAAGTTTCTGAAGTTAGTTTTATCAGCCATTATACACCTGCTTCACCATTCATGAAGGACTTTTTTGGGAATGTTACAGGAAACAAACTTATTTTTTTTTAGCCTAATAAGAAGAATTCATATATTCCTTTCCTTCAGAATCAGAAGAGATAAGAAATTTTAAATGCTACCTTTTTGCTCCTGTATATTGATTGATTGGTTGTATATTGTTTAACGTCCCTCTCAAGAATTTTTCAATCATATGGAGACGTCACAGTACGCCGGTAAAGGGCTTCAAATTTAGACCTTTATTTAGTCTTTATCAGCCAGACGTTTGCGTTTACCTACACAAACAGTTTGTGGAGGTAAACGCATATGTCTGGATGATAAAGACTAAACCTATACTGGGCACCTAGGGCCATTGAGCAGTGAGTGTTCTTTATCGTGACACTGTACTACGTTCTTAAGGTCATACGGAAAGACCCGTGACTTTCACTTTTAATGCTGATTTGGCGAAGGAACAGTCACTACCTTTGTCTACGTCTTAGGTATGACGCGGCGCCGCGAACGAGAATCGAACCCGGGCGAACGCTCTACCACAAGGCTACCGTGGCCGGTGCTCTTTTTTATGTAAATTTGTAAAAGAATTATTTTTTGCTCTTGCATTTGTAAATTTGTAAAAGATTTTTTTTCTTGATAATTAATGTTATTTGTCTCAGTCGCCTGCATGGCACAGTTCTTAGAGCGTCTGCTCCAGAGTCGCAGCGTAAGAAGCTGATCCTTATGTCTCGGGTTCAAATCCACTACAGGACATAGGGACTGTCCTTTCAATAAGACCGTATAAACAGAGGTCCCATGTCGCAGTACGTATTGGCATGAAACAGATCCCTCCCTGCTCAAGGGACCTTAGTGCCTAGTATAGGTTTAAATTTGCAACCCTCCACCGACAAATGATAGTGTCTCCAAATGAGTGAAGAATTCTCGAGAGAGACATTAAACAACAAACAAACATTATTTGTCGCTGGTTTGAAAAGTTTAAATATAAAAAAAAATGTTCCCAAAAATATGTAATTTTAATCAATTATGAAAATTCACTAAAAAAGAATTTTGCTGCAAGAAGGATATGGAGATAACGAACAGTATTCAATCTCAAAGTCCATAAAACAATACAAAATAAGAGGAGAGCAAACATCAGATCAAATTAGAGGTGGGATCAGATCAGAGGTGGCATAAAATTTATTTTATTATAAAAATGTAGTGATCCTAATTTACCTTTTTACAATCTTGTTCTTATTAGAAGTTTCAATATCAAGCACTTATAAACTGAACAAGGAGTGTATTTAAGATTTTAAAGTTTAACTTTCAGGAATCCGATTATTTTATTCATGTTATGAATTATACAGCAATGGATTCACAATAAGTTAACATTTTAAAAATATATATCATAATTCAGATCGAAAATTTCTTTAAAGATATAATTTAGGTGAAAGCAGGGGTAAATGAAAAATGGATATTTTCAACATGTAAATCGGCTTTATCAATTAAAATTAGAAAGTTTTGAAATTTAGGTGACAATGTAATCTATGGTTAAATCATAATTGATTTTCAAATCTAGCAACTTCTAAATTTCTACAGAAATCTATAAATTGCAGCACTTCTCAAATTCAATCCTGCAAACTTATCTTTCTTATAACCACAAGCATGTACACCATACTTTGTTAGACATCTGCTTATTTTTCATGTGTAAAACGTTTAATTACTATGAAACACGAGTAATTATATTACTGACAAAATAAAAAAAATTATAAAATATCTTGCTGTAACAATTTTTTATAGATGTTTTTGAAAAAGATGTCATACGATGGAAAGAGGAAGATGCGGTTTACAGTGAAAGCCACGGGTTCCCTGCAATGTTGGATCAAGTCAGAAGTCAACCTTACATGACATTTGTTGGTGTCCCAGGATCAGGAAAATCGGCAACGATTCATCACATAGCCCTGATACTCCAGAAGGAAGAGTATGAGGTTGTACCTATTATAGACATCAGGAAGATTGAAGATTACTCTGACTCTCGTCATCCACAGGTTTTTGTCATTGATGATGTGGTAGGTGTTATGGGTCTGCAAAAACAAAAGTTAGAGTCATTGATAGACTATGAAAGAACAATTTCAAATCCCTCCAATAGAAATACAAAAGTACTAATGTCATGTCGGGAAGCAGTTATTAATGAATGTTTCCAATCATTTTTTTCAAATGAGAAAAACATAATCAAGATACATAGGTCAGAAAATGCATTGAATGATGAAGACAAAATATCAATCCTTCAGAAACACGGCTTAGATAGAGATCTTTTGTCCCCCACATTACTGAGAGAAACATTAGATATGTTTCCGCTATTGTGTAAATTATACTCAAAAGAAGAGAAATTTAGAGACAATGTTCAAAGGTTCTTTACCTGTCCAGCTGAGTGTATTTTAGAAGAATTTGATAAAATGCAAAAGCAAAATAGTTTATGCTATGCTACATTGGTCTTGTGTATGTTGAATGAAAAAAAGTTATCAAAAGTAATATTGAAAAACACAGGAAACAATGTTTTCCTGGATATGAAATCAAAACTACTAGAAAGTTGTGAAGTTGAAAGTAACACTGATGCATTTAAATTTGTTAAAGCATTGGCAGCTATGGAGGGTACATACACAAAACTCTGTGGTACTGAGTACACCATTATTCATGACTCTGTCTTTGAAATCCTTGCATATCATTATGGATGTCAGTTTCCAGATCTTTTGTTGCAATATATTAGCAGTAGTTACATTGCTAATAACGTGAAAGTACAAGAATGTAAAGAAGAGTCAGAGGTTGAATATAAGCAAGATGAAAATGAAGAATTTAGTGCTGAGGAGCAGGAAACATTAAGTAGTGAAACAATCCAGGACTCATTTGAACTCTGCATAAGGTTAAGAGAGGATCAGTACCCAATGTTAGCAGAGCGTTTGTACAGAGATATAGAAAATATGGAGCTGTATGATGTTTTTATGAATAATGTTTTGAAACATCCTAAGGTATGTCAGGCTTTTATTGAGGTGTTTAAGACCAAGTCTTACACAGAGTTGAAGTCTTTGTTTCTGTCAAAACAGAAAGACGTGTCTAAGGTAGTGAGTAAAGGAAAGCGTGTGAGTGAGGAGAGTGAGAAGAGGGATGAGAGGAGCGGGGAATGGCGCAGACATATAATGTTAGTGATTGAGAATTATGATTATTTAGAAATAACATACAGTGTGAGGGTTATCAGCTGGGTAGTTTGTTATGGACACAGTCAGATCTTACAATATATTTTAGAACAAACTGAATTACACAAAGAAACAGAGATTGAACTATTTTGGAATTCCTTTAGCCCCAAATTAATCTATGAAGCCAACGAGAGACGAAATAACTCTGAAAAAGATAATGCCACAGACAAATTATTTTTTTTGAACTCCATTACTGATACAAGAAATCAAAAACAGAAAAACAGTCAGTCTATTCCCGAACATGACCGCTTATTTGTATTGAGTTGTTACAGTGGAGATTTAGAGACTGTAAGAATATTAATTAAGTATATCGATTTAAAACAAACAAATTCAAATGTGAAATATTTATTTCCTGATACACCACTGACAGCAGCATGTAAGGGTGGACATATGAGTGTAGTGAAGGAGCTTATAGAAGCCGGAGCTGATATCAATCTACCAGGTTACCATGATACACCACTGACAGCAGCATGTCATGGTGGACATATGAGTTTAGTGAAGGAGCTAATAGAAGCCGGAGCTGATATCAATCAACAAGGTAGGTATGATACACCACTGACAGCAGCATGTGGGCGTGGACATATGAGTGTAGTGAAGGAGCTTATAGAAGCCGGAGCTGATATCAATCAAAAAGGTGAGGTTCATAAACCACTGACAGCAGCATGTAAGGGTGGACATATGAGTGTAGTGAAGGAGCTTATAGAAGCCGGAGCTGAGATCAATCAGCAAGATAGATGTTATTCACCCCTGACAGCAGCATGTGGGCGTGGACATATGAGTGTAGTGAAGGAGCTTATAGAAGCCGGAGCTGATATCAATCAACAAGGTGGGTTTCATACACCACTGACAGCAGCATGTATTCTTGGACATATGAGTGTAGTGAAGGAGCTTATAGTAGCCGGAGCTGTTATCAATCAACAAGGTGAGGTTCATACACCACTGACAGCAGCATTTCAAGGTGGACATATGAGTATAATGAAAGAGCTTATAGGAGCTGGAGCTGATATCAATCAGCAAAGTGGGATGCATACACCACTGACAGCAGCATGTCAAGGTGGACATATGAGTTTAGTGAAGGAGCTTATAGAAGCAGGAGCTGATATCAATCAAAAAGGTGAGGTTCATACACCACTGACAGCAGCATGTGAGGGTGGACATATGAGTTTAGTGAAGGAGCTAATAGAAGCCGGAGCTGATATCAATCCTAAAGGTAAGTATTATACACCACTGACAGCAGCATGTAAGGGTGGACATAAGAGTGTAGTGAAGGAACTTGTAGAAGCTGGAGCTGATATAAATCAACAAGGTGAGTATGATACACCACTGACAGCAGCATGTGAGGGTGGACATTTGAGTGTAGTGAATGAACTTATAGAAGCCGGAGCTGATATCAATCCACAAGGAAAGAATAAAACACCACTGACGGCAGCATTTAAGGGTGGATATATGAGTCTAGTGAAGCAGCTTATAGAAGCCGGAAGTGATATCAATCCTCAAGGCACGTTTGAAACACCACTGACTGCAGCATGTAAGGGTGGACATATGAGTGTAGTGAAGGAGCTTATAGAAGCCGGAGCTGATATCAATCAGCAAGGTATGTTTGATACACCACTGACAGCAGCATGTCATGGTGGACATATGAGTGTAGTGAAGGAGCTTATAGGAGCGGGAGCTGATATCAATCTACAAGGTATGTTTGATACACCACTGACAGCAGCATGTGAGGGTGGACATACCAGTGTAGTGAAGGAGCTAATAGAAGCCGGAGCTGATATCAATCAGCAAGATAGTTGTGATACACCACTGACAGCAGCATGTAAGGGTGGACATATGAGTGTAGTGAAGGAGCTTATAGAAGCCGGAGCTGATATCAATCAGCAAGGTATGTTTGATACACCACTGACAGCAGCATGTGAGGGTGGACATATGAGTATAGTGAAGGAGCTAATAGAAACCGGAGCTGATGTCAATCAGCAAGGTGAGTGTGATACACCACTGACAGCAGCATGTGAGGGGGGACATATGAGTATAGTGAAGGAGCTTATAGAAGCCGGAGCTGAGATCAATCAACATGGTAAGTTTGATTCACCACTGACAGCAGCATGTACAGAAGGAAACATAAGTGTAGTTAAAGTGCTTATAGAAGCCGGAGCTGATATCGATCAGCAAGCTGGAGATGATACACCCCTGACAGCAGCATGTAAGGGTGGACATATGAGTGTAGTGAAGGAGCTTGTAGAAGGCGGAGCTGATATCAATCAGAAAGGGAAGTATGATACACCAATGACAGCAGCATCTAAGGGAGGATATATGAGTGTAGTGAGGGAGCTCATAGAAGCCGGAGCTAATAACATCAGTCAGATAAGTCAGAAACACCTATGACAACAGCGGATGAGGGTGAGATGTTATGAATACTTACTAGAGGTTTAATATTTGAAGGAACAGACTGCTACAGACTGGGGCTTAATATCATTTACAAGAGTCCCTTAATGTACATCTAAGGATAGAATAAATACGATTGTTACAAATCTGCTAGCACTCATGTATGGTAATTATATATATAGAGGAAATCGTCTTTAATAAAATTAAGACTGTAATCTTTGCAGAATCGATTGATGATTTAAAGTTTGCATTTCATCGGTAACTTTTTTTTGTTTAGAATGATTGATGGACATATAGTTTTTTGGTTGATGATTTTATAGAGATGATATTATTCTCCTGGGTGTGTAAGTTGATGTTATTGTCAGGGTAAGGTTCAGCAAGGATGATTGTGTGTTATTTTAGCATGGTCTGTCTGTTAAAGGTTAAACGAGACAAATCTTCAGTGAGTTAAGGATAAGCGATACTTTTTTTTGAAATCGTTGCATGTGTGCATATAAGAGTTACGGGTGCTGAAGAATGTGCGAGACAGTAAAAGAAAGAATGGTGACTCTGGACAAGATTATACTGATACCGATATTTAAAAATCGAAGATTTGTTTGAATACCTAAAACGTGCTGAGAGGAAGATAGTGCTGATTAAATCAAAGAAATGTGAAAGTTGATGTTCTTTAGAAAAAAGTAATTCCGTATCGTGTACATAAAAAAATTATAAAAATAAGAGCTTATGTCCTGACATTATACGCAATGTTTTACCTACCCTCTCTTTAAAAGGTGTCTTGAAATTTTGATTTGTTATTATTTACAAGTTTTAAGACTTGCTTCAGAAAGAGATCAGTCTTTAATCAGTATATGTTTTTGTATATTATATAGAACGATTTTACCCTTTCTTTGGACTTTCAGTAGGGCGTAACTTTCTCGGCACTACGTAATGGTGAATACTAGTAGATTTTCTTTGGTTACGAAATTAATAACATCGGGAACTTATGTTGATAACGATTAGACGACTTATGCCCCACCTCTGTACCGTGAGGAAACTTTTAATTGGCTATTTACTATATCAGTTGACACTCTGTCGCATTTCTATCATATGTATATTTCAACAGTGACGGGAAGCTGTGTAAATTTCAGAAGCTAATTTTTATAATTAAGTAACATCGAGAATGCCACGCCTTATTGAAAGTCCAAGCTAAGCGTGTAATGGTCCTAAATTGTCCAACTCACCATGCAAAAGAAAAAAAAATTAGTGCATCCACTCTCATTTTGAATCATTCTGCAAAGTTGGAACAATTTTAGTCACAAATGGCATTGAGTGGAAACTGCCATTCTCAACAAATAATTAAATTTTACCTGTTCATTCTTGACATTAAGAGAAGGGTCCTTTTTTTGTTTCCATACTTCAATATTTTATATTATGGCTGTAATGCGTCAATTGTTTGGTTGAAAAGAAGTTTGTATCATGAGTTGCTGCTAAATTGTGTGAATGCTTAATTTTTCTTTATCTTTACTCTTTTGTTGCCCTCAATTGTCTCTCATGGTTTTTCTTTTCAAGTATTGTTCATTTATTTATAAATATGATGCATGATATAATATTACATTTGTTTACAATTAAAACAAAGAAATCTTTGAAATAGAAAAGGAAGAATTTAAAAAAAAATATTAAAAGAGTCAGAATATTTCTTATTTTATATATTTTTTTTAATAAATCACATAATAAAAACAAATATAGAGATGCTTATCATTCATTTTACTTTAAGGTACATATACAGAAGTTTTTGAGCATTAATTTTTAATATATTGCAAAGTTTTTTAATGAAACCTGAACGTATCATTGTATATATTCAGACATATACTTAGATCATCTAATTTTTTTTTTAACTTTTGTGGAAATGTTTATATAGTTTTATATATAACTGTTTGTATATACTTCATGATATGTAATATGTGTACTGTAAACGTATTATATGCAGCATGTGCGATATTTGGCGAAAATTGAATTTGGGACAAATTGATGTTGATTTGATTTGATTTGATTTAGCTCATGTCCTAATGTTGGTATTTGAATATAAGTACAAGACATTTAGCAAGTGTACTTGAATAAGCGAGAGTTTCTTACCACCAAATGTTCTAGAAAGTATACAAAGCTTAATGTCATAAGTTTACAGTATGTTGTTCAATTCAGTTGTTACAGTTTTCAGTGTATATTTTGTATATCAAATCAGTGGAAATTTGTAATTGATTAAAGAAATGTTCAGTTTCACGTGTTATCAATTACATGTAATTTGTTCCTTAAATGAATTTTATTCTCATCTAAATGTTAATAATAAACTTACTGAAATGCACAGCTTCTTTAATTTTTATAGCAGCTTCTTTAATTTTTATAGCTCTAATAGTCGAAGGGCTTATGCGATATTAAGGGTCTGTCGTCCGTCCAGTTGTCTGTCTGTGCATCTGTAAACAATACAATAGAAATTTCTGTGAAATATTTTCAAAATGCTACTCCTCCCACAGTTTTGGTCTGATTTCAACATAATTGACACACAAGTAGACCAGACTAAGATACATAATTCTATAATCGGTTTTTGATTTCGATGAGAACGGTGTTGCCATGGTTACTAGAAATAGACATTTCTTTGAAATATTTTCAAATGATATTCCTACAGTCTTGGTTCCTGTGGGGATCCGGGTTAGAATAGATCCTCAGTACCCCCTTGCTTGTCGTAAAAGGCGACTAAATGGGGCGGTCCTTCGGATGAGACCGTATTAACCGAGGCCCCGTGTCACAGCAGGTGTGGCACGGTAAAGATCCCTCCCTGCTCAAAGGCCGTAAGCGCCGTGCATAGTGTTGTGTTGTATTTGTATTATTTCATCATGTATATTATTAGTAACATTAAGTTTCTTGAACATTCCAGAGTGGTCAACATGTTCGGTCATTTTTCTAGAACATTCTTGAACTTTGTGCATGTCCAGAACTTTCCAGTAATATCATGTACTTACAACTTCTAGAATATTCTAGATTTATATTAGTGTATAAATATCCTGTCAATTCGATGCATAGATATACTCTTGTCGTATGAGCACCATTGAGTTACAACTGGGATATAATTTCACTGGGACATTGTGTGCAGCAACGGACACTCTGATGTATGTATTTTTAGATTTTTGCTAAGTTTGTACTTAATGATTTGTATATTACTGTAAATAAATTATTGTTAAGTTTAAACTGTGTGATTGATCTTTGCTGGCATTTAGGGTTATTCTGACCCATAACAGAATTGGGGGCTCGTCCGGGATCAAGAATTTCTTGCACTTTTGCAGTTCATTGTCAGAATTTTGTTAATTAAATTGTTAAATTTGACTATAAGCCAGCAAAAATCAACATGGTATTTTCGGTCACAAACTTTCTTAGTTCGCCAAGTGTTCAGGTTTTTGATACGTTAAAAAAGGATGACTTGATCGCATTAGGTTTGCATTTTGGGTTAGATGTTAAATCCTCTCAGAAAAAGCAAGACATTAGAATTAAGGTTGCAAACAAACTAGTAGATGAAAACATCTTTGAAAAATACGATCTTCCAGAATATACAGTTAGATCAGAGTTAGGCTCTTATAAAATGGCAGACTATCAGTTTCAATTAGAGTTAGAGAAAATGCGATTTGAAAGAGAAAAATTAGAAAGAGAAGAGCGAGAAAGAGATAGAGAAGAACGAGAGCGTGAACGAAAATTTGAAAGAGAAGAGCGAGAAAGAGAGCGTGAAATGAACTTTGAATTAGAGAAATTAAAATTACAGAACCAACCAGGACCGTCAGTTGTCAAAATTGAATTTGACGCAGCAAAAAATATTAGATTAGTTCCAAAATTTCAAGAAACATCTGTAGACAAATATTTTCCCCAATTCGAAAAAGTCGCAGAGAATTTTAAATGGCCACAACACGTTTGGTCAACAATGTTACAAAGTGTACTGGTTGGCAAAGCAGCTGAGGTATACTCTGCACTAGGGGTAGCTGAAAGTTCAGACTATGAGAAGGTCAAAGCAGCAATATTAAAGGCATACGAATTAGTACCTGAAGCGTATAGACAAAAATTCAGAAAGTATAGGAAGTTTGATAACCAAACATTTGTTGAATTTTCACGAGAGAAAGAAGATTTATTCGATCATTGGTTTAGATCTAAGAAACTTGATAAAACTTTTGCTAATTTACGCCAAGTCATCCTGGTAGAAGAGTTTAAGGAATGTGTTACTCAAGATTTGAAAACACATCTAGAAGATAAGAATGTGAAAACTCTTGAAGAGGCAGCAGTCATATCTGATACTTATGCTCTGTCTCATAAAAAGAATTTTGTATCAAGATCTCAGACTAGCAGTAATTCTACAAATTCAGACACATATAGAAAGAGTGGTTCAGGGTCTCAGTCTTTCACAAGTTCCCAGTCTTCATCCCAAGGTGGTTCTAAGTCCGGTCCAGGACGTTTTGAAGGATCTTCTGGAATAGGGTCGCTTCCTACTTGTAGTTATTGTAAGAAAAAAGGTCATCTGATCAGTGAATGCTTTAAACTTAAGAGAAAAAATGACTTTGATAAAACTCAACCACATGCTTGTGCGGCAGTTAGAGGTGATAGAGAAACCTTAGTTTAGATTTGTTCTGACACTCCTGATGTCCAGGGTTCACAGTCCAGTTCTATTGATTCTATGGAGGATTATAAGCCCTTTATGTCTCAGGGATTTGTTTCACTCGGTGACTCTAGCGAAATAAAACCTGTCAAGATTTTGAGAGATACTGGTGCTGCACAGACGTTATTGTTAGAGGGCGTGCTTCCTTTGTCTGAGCAGACTTCTACTGGTGAGTCAGTTTTATTACAGGGTGTGGAGCTAGGCGTCATTGATGTTCCCCTGCATAGAATTAGTTTGAAGTCAGATTTAGTTAATGGACCTGTTATCGTAGGTGTTCGACCTACTCTTCCTGTTCCAGGCATTTCTTTGTTGCTAGGCAACGATTTAGCTGGTGGAAAAGTTGTACCAGATCCTATAGTTTGTGAGAAAATCACTCCAGATGTCATGTGCGATGATGAAGATGAT